AGCAGGAATTCACATATTTGTCTCTTCATTCTCATAGAACTCTGTTTATACCTATCATGTTCACTGGTCTATCTTTGGTATAATAAGTGCTCAATAAGTATTGAATATGTGTACAACGAATTTCTTACATAAGAATTAATATACTATAGTATACTGTAATTTATTTGTTTACCTGTTTGTAAAATTTTAACTAGAACTTCATGTTTATACCTTGGTGAGTTAGAGACTTTTCCAAAAGTTAGCCCATGGCCTGTTGGTTAAGGAGTATGGATCCTCATGGCTGACCACATGAGTCCCAGGCTTGATGGTTTGAAAAACACCAGGAGCCTGTGCATGCGTGCTCAAAATCCCCAAAGAAGAGAAAAATGGAGGAGAAGAGATTGCAGCATTATCATTCTCATGAGGGAGGCTTTCTCTCTCTCTCTCTCTTTCTCTCTCTGTCTTTCTCCAGGAGTGCACATACCCTATGGCGAATTAAATAATAAAGGTAGAGAGACTTTGCCATAAAGTAGATGAATCCAAGCATGTGCCCTATGCTCAAAAAAAAAAAAATCTACATATTTATGAGAGATACAGAGAAAGAGACCCAGAGAGAGAAGCACCTTCAACAAGGTCTCATGCTGCTATCTTGCTCCCTCCACCCCCAGCCTTTCAGCCAGTCAAGATCAGGAGCATGCATGTGTGTCCTACATGTATAGACTGACTGAACATTAAACACTCATCTGTATGACTTCTAGCACTGAAGAGCATTGAGCTACCACTGTACCACTATGACTGGACTGTGATAAATCTTCTTAACCTTTGTCATCCCACACTTGAAGGGGTCAAACAAAAAATGATTTTTAAATTCTTTATTGGTCTAAAATTCTCTATTTTATGAATTTGATAGCAGTTATGTCACTGGACTCCCGCATGGCTGACTGTGGTTTGAGTCTTGGACCTGGTGGCTTGAGACTTAACACTGGGCGCTTGTGCCTGTGTGCCTAAGATCCCAGGGTGGAGTGGGGGGTAATGGTGACATCAACCCCCCTGAGGGATTATTTCTCACTTTCCTTCTCTCTTTCTCTCTCTCTCTCTCTCTGGTGAGCACATGTGCCATAAAGTTAAAATCTCTTAAAAAAATATTGAAATACATTTAACCAGTATATTTAATGTAACAAAAATCACTCTTAAACTGCATCTTGTTAATGTTAAAATTCTTTATTTACAATAACTAATAAGAACAAGACTTCATAGGCTGATTTCAAGTCCAAAATGTATAAGATTTCCTGAAATTAATGTATAAATTTTATTTGTTAAATGACTAATGATTATTTAAGAATAGAATTAAGCAACTGGCTTAAAGTCAGCCCAAGGTAGTAATAAAGTGCTATTCATCGTGCTAAAATTAATTAAAGTTAAATTAGTTATCTTATTTGGTTATTATCCAAATCTTTCATTTTTATATGCAAATAAATTATTTCAACAGAGTAGCAATTACAGTCAAAGGTTTAAATTACCTAGAAAACTGTAACTTAATCATAGGTTATGACTTCTATGTAATCAAAATTTATAAGTGGTTTGATAAAAACAATACTATTTTCAATAGTACAGGAAGAATGTTATGTACTTCAGGCTTTGAGTCTTTGAAAAAATATGAAACCTTAGTATTTTAGAAATAGTATAACAAGATTTATAGTAGTTCTTAACAAAGAGAAGAAATTTAACTTCTGTTTTCATTTTAGTCAGGTGTAGTTGAAAAATCATTTTTGTAATACAAAAAATATAAACATTATCACAGTTTTCGGTAAAGTTTTAAAATTTAGCTAAATTGATATGCATAATTTATTAGGAAAAATAATTGTGAAAATTAGCAAATTGGCATGCTAGGGAAGCATAAGCATACTTGACCAGTCTTTGTGTTTCATTTTATTTTCTCATTTGCTTCTCACCCACCTAAACACATTCCTCAAAAATCATAAAAGGATTTGTCCTGTTTCTGATCCTTATGCATGTCTGTTCACCAAAATGCATAACAAGAAGCTTAAGGATTTCAAACTTTTCATTGAATTTACCACCAAGATGATCATGATTGTTTATTGAATAAAAAAGGTGAGGTGACTTAGTTCACAAAATAACAATCTATTGACTTTTTCTGCTAGGTTATACTAGGTTCTACCTGTTCACACTGGTCCCCTCATTCCATTACTAACACACACACTGTTCTGCTTTGCTTACGCCTGGTATTGAAAAAGATTATTGCCAGTCTGTGTCACTTGATTGGGGAATTTAATCCATTAACATTCAATGTTAACGAATGTAAATTGGCCCAGTCA